ATTATTATTATTATTATTATTATTATTATTATTACTTCTATTTTCTGTTATTGTTGTTTACCTTTTAAAATGAGCAAAAATAGATGGACAACGTTTTTTGGCATCCGAAATTAGTGTAAAGGAGGAAATTTTTGGATTATCCTGGGGAAAATTTATTGGCTTTTGTTGAAGAAAAGAAACAGTAAATTTGATATTTGTTATAATTAATGTTTGCACAGATTGCCCAGTTTGGATGCTGTTGGTGGATACAGGACCTCATGACAATAATCAGCTCAGAAAAACTTTTTAACTATTGGTTTTGTTGGAATAAGTTGACTCGCTTTCTTAGAAATAATTATATGGCCCTTTTTATCGTTTGAACTTCAGTAATTTCTGATTGAAATATTGATAAGCACAAATGCCAAATTTATCGTCTAAATGCATTCAGGTGTCCAGAGGTGGCAACTGTTCAGAGGCAAACTGATACTCATTTGTGCAGATGCGGCAAATTTTGTGCTAAGGAATTGTTGTGAAGAAAATAAGAACTGTTGAAGAATATGACAAAATTTTTATGTATTACTGCTTCCAATAGATGCCAATCCATCTTAGTTGCTCACTGGTATCGTTTTTTTCTTATTTGTTTTTGATTCTCGAAAATAGAGTAGGAATGCTTATTACTGATTTTTTCTTTTAGCGGTGCCACATAAACATTTTCCAAAGGCTTCAATATCAGCTACAGTAACTGTGTAATGGGTTCGGAAAGAAGACAAGAATTTCGAGAATTATGGCTGGTCAATGACGGCGAACAGAACGACCGGAAAAACAGCGCTCGGCAAGTGAATATTCAGCGATTTGCCCTCCCATACAGCTGTTTATTTTTCTGTGCGTGTTCACGACGTTGAACCTGGTTTTTTAATTTCCACTCATTATGAACGTCAAGATAGGGGAGGGAGGTGAAAAAAACTACGTTTTTGACATTTATTGCTGGTCGTTGCGGATCCACATCACTGCATTTATTCTCTGATCCTTAAGGCTCAGGAAGACAATATTGGTTGTTCGTGTTGTTAGTTTGTCATGAATATTTACTAGAATATTCCTCATCTACATTTAGTCTTTTTTCGTTCATAATTTAAAGTTATTGTATTTTGCCACTTCTTCCTAGTACATTTAAAACCTTGGTGTCTTGGATTCGCATTGTAACCAATTTTTGATTACGACGATACTGCGAGTTATTGCGATGGTTTCGGTTCTGCGCTAATGAACTTACTTAATGCTTTTAAAAATGCGTCATCAATAGACGTTGTGCTAAACTGACAAGTGTATAAATTCTGAAAGTTTCAGGAAAAACCACGTTCAGTTGGCGAGGATGAAGTCGGTTCAATAATTTCAAGGTCTTCATAATCAGTACCAAAGCACTGTTAGGTACAGTAAGCGTTTCCATAGATTTTTATTAGTGCTGTAGGAAGCTCATTCGTGTTCACATTATTTAAAAATTAATTTTTTGGAAAATTCAGGTAAGAATCTTAGAAGTATGTGCATATTACTGCCTTGAATCATATAGTGTCCTCCAGTCTTTTTACGCGACTAACTACCACTGCCGATATTTTAGCTCAAAAAGGTACGTTGTTTACTGTTTCAGAGGTTAATTTAATTACCACCTAAACAGTTTTTATCTTATTTATAACTTGAGTTTTTTTAGAACTTACCCTGGCGCAATGAATCACGCAAGGACGGAAAGCGACATGTTAAGCGGTATTGCTGAGTTGGAGCCCATCAAACCTGCACCAGTAAATATTGCAGCAGTTGAAGACGCATCTGTTTATCGAGACGATAATCATTTTGCAACATCTTTCAAGCAATTATGTGCTATGAGGAAGTATAAGTTCGCGCAATTTGTTGATGCGCTTTTATTTTTCTTGTTTCAAAAATCCTTTCTAGAGACGGACAGCTATGCGATGTTGTGCTTATATCTGATCCTGAAGATCGTGACAAAGGAGGTAAATCAAGGTACTTTGGAAAAGAAGTTCATGCGCATCGTTGTATTTTGGTTGCGTCTTGTCCTTATTTCGCGGCCATGTTTAGCAGTTCAATGGTGGAAAGTGAAAGGAAAAGCATCCATCTTAAGGTATCCTGCTCGTTTTCTTCCCGTGAACAGCTATCGTTTTTCTCTGTACAGTCATTTTGTAGCATCTTTGATTGTTTGGTATTCTCACTTTGACCATTCACAAACTCTCTAGTCCAGCATATTAATATAAACTTTTTAGGATATTGATGGGGATACTTTAGAAGCTGTAATCGACTACATTTATACGGGGAAGCTGAAAATTACTGAAAGTAATGTTCAGAAGCTTTTCACAGCATCTTCAATCTTCCAGGTTAAATCCAAACTTGTATATAAAAAGTTTCTTATAAAGTCGACTTGCGATTCCCTTCCCATATAGCTGAAGGTTGTTCTTGTTGCGCTAAAGTACCTTTCTAGATGTCGTCACTGCAGGACGCTTGTGGAGGATATTTAAGAGACCAGCTTGACCCGTCGAATTGTCTCGGCATAGCCCAATTTGCGAAGTCACATGGCTGTATGAAACTTCATTCTGCTGCAAACTGTTACATTAGACAGCACTTTTGGTTAGCAATTTTAGTAGTTAAATTGCAAGCTTAGATATCTGCTTTTTTACCCTAAAAGCTTGTTTCTTTGTAGGGAATTGGCGAATTGTGAAGAATTTCTAGCCCTTAGCAAGGATCGTTTAAGTGAATTAATTTCTTTCGATCACTTGAACACTAACGGTGAGGAAAAGGTTCGTTTCTTTTTCTTTTGATAGGAATTCCTGTCACTTTTTCTAAAACTTCAATCTTGGCATTTTTTGAAGCATTTGTCACCAGCATGCCGTATCTATAAAATTTAGGTATATGAGGCAGTGCTACGTTGGGTTAATCACGACAAAGAAAAGAGGACCAGCTGTCTTCCTGAGCTTATGTCACACGTGCGCATATCGCTGGTTTCTCGTCAGTATTTAACGAAGCGTGTCAGTAGTTTCACTAGAGACCTTTATGACTTCTTTGTTAGAGTAATTTATCTTGTGCTTTTTTATATTCTTGCTTCACTTACTTTTTGAAATTGCCAGTACCCTACGTTACGTTCTGAATTATTCCCGTGTTCAGATTGATCCTGACCCGCTTCTAAGGAGAAGCTCTGAATGTAAAGATTACCTCTTAGAGGCATATCGCTATCATCTTACTGGATCCTTTGATGAAGACTGTGAAAGATTTCGGCCGAGAATGCCAGTGGCACCTACACGGGTTGGCTTTCTGCAATATTATGCCTGTAAAATTTCTTTGAACTTGGATCTTTATTCCCTAAAATTGTCGCTGTTTTCTGTATGTCTGATTGCAACTTTCTTTAGTTGATCATGCTGGTCGGTGGTCAGGCGCCCAAAGCGATTGCTAACGTCGACGTGTTAGATTTTGATGCGGGCTCTTGGGTTTCAGGCATTTATAACTGTTTTGTGCACTTATCTAAGATACTTGTGTTCAGAAAACTTCTCTATTGCCAAAAAATTGTTCAAATTGATGGTTGGTAACCTCTGGCTATTTGAACTTTATTTCAGTGAAAAATCTTTCCCAACGACGCTGTAGATGTGGTGTCACTGAATTAAATGGAATGATTTACGCAGTAGGCGGATTCAACGGATCAATGAGGGTTCGTACAACGGATGTTTTTAATGTCGATAATGGCAGCTGGTATGGAGCAGCAGTAATGAATGAAAGGTATAGTACAAACTTACTCAGCGCTTATTTTTGAAGGGAAAAAGATTGTTTTGTTGTTTTTTTTAGAAGGAGCACCTTGGGGGTTGGTACCGCTGGAGGTCGTATATATGCTGTAGGCGGCTATGATGGTAACACTGGGCTCTGCACTTCTGAAGCTTTCGACCCTCGCACAGGTTTTCCAAACTATTACCCTTAGCGAAGTAGAAGGGTGAAGCGTCAGTTGTTTTTTATGGAGCTCGGGTAAATTTATAATTTAGTTACGGTACTATTCATTAATTTCTAGGTGAATGGACTTTCTTGCCACCAATGAGTGTACGTCGTTCTTCTGTGGGGGTGGCAGCATTAGGAGATTACATTTATGCGATAGGTGGTTTTGATGGTAACTGTAAGCAAAGTCTGGATACGGTCGAAATCTTTGACATCAGGTTAAACCAGTGGATACCTGGTCCGACAATGAATCTTAAAAGGTTTTTGAGTTATGACGAGTATATTCCTCACTACATTAGTTTTTCAATTTGTTACTAGAGTTTTTCCGTTTGGCCCTAATTTAGATCTGGAGCTGCAATAGCCACTTTCGGCAGATGTGTAGTTGCTGTGGGGGGACATGATGGACCGGATATAAGGTCAAGCGCAGAAGTATGTTTTAGCATTTGGAAAATTAACCTATGAAAATTTGAAGCATAGCTGTAAGCTCTATGTTGGCTGTCATTTTTTGACAAATAGCAGTTTGCTGCTGTTTTTAAGGTGTTAGCTAATGGAGTGTGGCAACAGTGTCTGCCTGAAACGAACGTTCCGAGGCGGAATGCAAGCGCCCTCTGCATTGACTCTACACTTTACGTAATAGGAGGGAAGGCTTTCTTTTCTCATTGTCCACTGATTCATTAAAGAAGGAGAAAATTGTTTATCAAATTATGTTTTTAGGTGAGGACGGTAGGATGAATCTCGATACTATTGAGTCGCTAGATATTGCTTCCTTAAAAAATATACCAAAATCTTGGGTGGAAGTTGGGGTGCGCTTAAGACAGGCGAAATCATATTGTGGTGCATGCCTGTTACCAAAACCTTTGGGGAAGGAAGTTTACGGAGGATATTACCAAGCGAACGTAAGAGCAAGTGAAAAAAATTTGCTTTATTACTGACCTCATCCACTAGTCATTTTCTTTTTTTTATCTGTGCTGAGTCGTATAATTGTATTTTAAAATCTACTTTGAGCTGGTTTTTCTGTTATATTTATCTGTAATCTTGCTGCGGAGTTTGCAATGCCGCTTCATCATGAGCGCTGCACTTTTATTACAATACTCGCGCTTTCTGCAACGTTTCTTAATGTTCCATTATTTATTTTCAAGATATGGATCTTAAAATGTTACGGATGCGGCCTGTACCAAGTATTTAATTGATTTTCCAACCCATTAAAAAGAAACAGGTCACTTTTTCCGGGCGAAACAGAGGTTTTGAAAAACTGTCGCCAAGAGCAGCATACAAAAATTTGACCAATTTATGCATAGAGTTGATAACTTAAGGAAGTTACAGGGTAGCTGTGATTAGGATTTATTTAAACTAAAGAATTACCAAAAAAATTTTCTTCAGTGAAATTTTTTGGAAACTGCTTTCTCCACCACAGAGAAGCATTTTGACTGAGGAGCAAGGAGCTGCTACTGTACTTGGTTTTACGCTGGTTTTAATCCTTTTACAGAGCTGAGCTGCTGATTGTGAATAGTCCAAAAGAATTAGTAAAACTGCCTAAGATTTTTGCTTTTCTAAACTTGGAACCGCGTGTACCCGCAACAATGCAGAACTAAGACCTCGTTTATTGCATAAGTGGCAGAAGTTGAAATTGCGTATGGTTGTTATCAAGAGCTTTCCTATAGAGTTCTTTTATCCAAAATCAGTTGTATTGTACATAACTGGTGACAAGTATAGTCACTCGTCTCACAATTCCTTATTCTTCATGCCTCTATTCCCTGATCAAATACTAAATTTGACTGTATATTTCTGAGTGTTAAACACTTAATCTGCTTCATAATTATCGCTCCGAGTGTTGACCTTCTCCATTTTCTTTCATGTATCAACCAAATGTCTTCCTTTTACTAGTCAGAGAATTTCTAGAGTCTCAGCATACGTCCTAGCACGATTATGCGAATCTCCATAATTATTTTCCACGAACATATATATATATTCATATAAATATAAATATATACGTGCA